GGAAATATCTGGACACTTATTTGATACTGTACTCTGATAATATAGAATATAGGGCCAAATTTCAGAAATCCAGTTGTCAGGGGATACAGAATGCCTAGGATAACTCACATACAGCAATAACCTAACATTTTCTGAGACCATCGATTTCCAAACCTACATCCGAGTTGTTGAAGACCAATGGAATGTGCTTCATTTCCCCTTCTTCCCCTTGTTTCCACCCACCTCTGATGGCAGGTAAGATAGTCCTGGTCGACTACTGGGTGTTTGATCTTGAAATCCTGTGTCTACTGGTTGGCAGGTGGCTGTGTCAGCCAGGTTGGCTGAGGCCTTCTGAGCACGTGGGCTGGTTCTGAGCTGTGTGGTGACCTTCCAGGTCTTGTGTTTAGTCATAGGACCTATCCCAGCCCTTATGTCCTCATCACCTTGTAGGCTCAGATCCATGATCTCAGCAGATTAAAGGAGCAATTCTTTTGTGTAAGGAGCTGGCACCCCTAAGTCCTTAGTGAGCTCACACATCTTGGGCACATCATAGGACCTGAGCATGTCTGGTTGAGGTACCTTCTGGCAGTTTTTCTCCCTGTGACAGCTGCTTGAGTTTGAATGGTTTACTCTGACCTTTCTGGTGCCACTTGTCTCAAGATCGTCTGCAGACTGCTCTGTCATGGAGGCTTCCTGCCAGTGGATAACCACGGCTGCACTTTATACCATAATTGAATGGAGACAGGATTTACCTCATTGGAGCACCTTGCCTGTCTGACTCCATATTATCAAAAACAGAGACTTGGGACTTCATTTTTTTTTTTTTTTTATAAAAAAATTTATTGAGATGATGTAATTATAGGCTTTTCTTTAAAAATTATTTGCAACTCACTGGCCCTGAGAAAAGGCATTTTTTTTTGTTTTTTTGTTTTTTGTTACATTCATTTGATTCAGTCCCTTATAAACCCCACACCTCATAAACAAGAAGAGATTAGAAACTAAACAGAAAAAAAAAAAAAAAGAAATTCTAGATTCGTTCTGGTTGCAGTCACAAAGAGAAATCTTTAAGAATGTTCACTTGGCATGTGTGAAAGATCCTGGGAGTTTGCAGTTGTTTAGTGTTGATGCAGATGGGGCCAAAGAGTATCAGGTTAGTCTTCTGTGGGTTTGAGACAGGCAGGGATTATTGTGTTCCCCTTCCTCCTGCCCTGTTAGCTTCCTTATGTCACGCCTTTTATTCCAGGTGTATGCTCAAAGAGGAGTGGGCAGGTTGAGGGAGTGAACAGCTTCTAACTAGCACCGAATGCTTGGGCAAATAAAACTGCCCTTTGTTCTGGATGTGTTTTCCCAAATCTTTTATCTTCAATTTCCTGGGGGGTGGGGTGGGAGGAATGGGTCAAACGGGGTATGGCCAGGCTGGATCCCAATCCTAATTCTGTCCCTGGCATACCATCTGCTCCTAGGGCAAGTCACATTACCTCCCTGTCACTCAGGTTTCCTTTCTGCAAAAGGGGGTTAATAGTTCAAAAAATGTATTCACACTTGGAGCCTAGGCAGTGGCAGGTGGAAGTGGTGCTTACTTAGTCATTTGGGTAAATTCTGTCATAGCCATTTACATTTCAGCAAAAGTGACATTCTCATTGGGGCAAGGTATCCGTGTCAAAAGACACTGGATCAGGTTCCAAACATACTGTTAAAAGGAGAAAGTCAGTCTGTCATTCCTCTTTTTCTGTGGGGGCTCCCCAAAATAATTTGGGTCATTGGTGATGCAGCCGTAGGCAAGACCAAGTTGCCTTGGGTCAAGACGATCTTAATGGCCAGTCTAGCCAGTTACTACTGCTTTCTTCTGATGGAGGGGAGACTGCCTAGCTAAACTGAGATGTAGGGAAGAGAACTTCAAGACACAAGTGAGCATGCCCACCCCCCACACGGCAGAGCTCTTTTGCATTTTCCTCTCCTGACCAGATTTTGCAGTCAATAAATCCCATGATGGCAAAAGGCAAAGACCAACTATTCAGATAGATAGATGTGCTTTTAATTTGGTCCCTGCTGAAAATTTTATCACCCTTAGTCCTTAGTGTTGAACTGAGACATGTCATGCTGGATGGATTCTGCAGGTATAATATAAACTCTCTGAGGGCAGGGATCATGCACGATTGATCTTTGGATTCCTTGCAATGTGCTTCATCAAGGTTTGCTAAACTGCATCTGAAATCTTTATAGAGTCTGCAGTGTGTAAATACAGTATCCCCAGTGCCATCCCTGCCCAGGTCTTCTAAGAACAAATGAGGAGGACTTTTACAGTCAAGGAATCAGCAAAAACCATTATGGGTAATAAAGATGGAGTACCCCTTATCTAACATGCTTGGGACCAGAAATGTTGCGAATTTTGGATGTTTTTGGATTTTAGTATATTTGTATGTGCATGTATGTGGGGGGAGAGGAAGGGGAGAGGAAGAGGAGAGGAGAAGGGGGAGGGGAAGAGAGAGATCTTGGGGAGAGCTCCAAATCTAAACACAAGATTCATTTATGTTTCATATACACCTTATACATAAAACCTGAAGGTAATTTTATACACTTTTTTTTTCTTTGAGTCAAAGTCTCACTGTGTCACCCAGGTAGGAGTGTAGTGGCACCATCATGGCTCACTGCAGCCTCAACTTCCTGGCCTCAGGCAATCCGTCAACCTCAGCAAACTGAGTATCTGGGACTATGAGTGTGAGTCATCATACCCGGTTAATTTTTTGATTTTTTTTTTTTTTGGTAGAGACAGGGTCTCACTATGTTTCCCAGGCAGATCTCAAACTCCTGGGCTCCAGCAATTCTCTTGTCTCGGCATTCCAAAGTGCTAGGATTACAGGCATGAACCACTGCAATTGGCCACTTTCATACAATATTTAACATAATTTAGATAATATTTAAAAAATGTGTGTACATGGAACCATCAGAAAGCAAGGTGTCAGGTGTAGAATTTTCCACTTGTGGTGGTATGTTGGTGCTTCAAAAGTTTTGGAGTTTTGAATTTTTGGATTAGGGGTGCTCAATCTGTGTCTGAATGGGAAATAAAGACTATTGGAATGAGCACTTTCTATACCTTCTTCAAGTGGCTGAAGGTGTCGTCTTTAGTCTTACATGGTCTCCTTGGATATTGCCCTAAGTACAGAAATTTTGGGGGCAAAAGAGAGTTTCCCTTTCTGATTCCACTGTAAGTTTCTTTGAACAGTCAGAGACTGAGTTCTTGTACTTGGATAAAGTAGCTAGAATGAGATGTCCTAATGTTAGCAACATCATGCTCTGGTTTCTGATGTCATGATTTCATATTCATACAAAGGGTCAAGTAAAAATCCACCCTTTCTCTCCAGTTCTTCAACTCAATAGCTTTCACAACACATTAAGTATTTGGCTTAATCTCACCATTCGAGCTACCATATCAGTCATCTTAGAGGCTGAACAAGGTATCGCCACCTCCCGTGAAACACCCCTGAAAGACATCTGTGGCATGCTGGGATCCAGCAGCACCGTATCACCACTCCAGCTGACTGAGACCAAACCCTTCACAACCAGACCCTCTCACCTCACACAGAAGGTCCCTGACTTCCCGGCAGGTAGAGTAGGGAAAACATGACAATAAGAGTGGGCTGGCCACCGTGTATCTACCTGTGCTGACTTCCCGGCAGGTAGAGTAGGGAAAACATGACAATAAGAGTGGGCTGGCCACCGTGTATCTACCTGTGCTCTGATAAGAGGCAGGAATAGAGTAAGGCTGAAGAGCCTAGCTCAGCCTCTAATTCCAGTGTCCTTGAACCACAGTCCATCGACTTGCCCCCTAGGCTGGTGTCCTTGTCAGTAAGGCCCAGGGAGAACTGAATTCCTCTTGCCTGTGTTCCCCTAACCTCTAGGTGCCTGACTCAACTCAAAAAGGCTGGAGGAGAAGCCTGGGGGTCTGGAAGCAGCTACTAGTGGCACAAAGGTACCCAACACTTACCCAGCTGAGTAGAGGGCACAGAGGGGATAGTGGAGAGGGTGCTTTGTAAGGCAGGTCCAATCTTCGGGATTAAAAAAGACTCTTCTCCAGATTAAAAAAGACTCTTCTCCAAATACTGGATTTCTGCATCTATATTGGAGGAGTCAATTTAGATGGCTAGAAAAGGAAAACAAAATCTAAAACAGCTTTCTAAAAATATCTGTTATCATCAAAAGTACTAAGGAGTGGCACTACCCTCACTTGACAAGATGCTATTGGCCTTATTTTGAGGTGAAAAAGAGTCATGAATGGGTACTTTCTGAAATAGTTATGAAAGGAAGAATAATGTATCTGAGAAATTTCCTGCCTGCCCAGGTGGGGCAAACACTGGTTGCAACTGGGACCGCATGCTGGGATTCTCCCTCTCAAATGCTCTGTGTCCAGTGGGGACCAGGAGACTTAAAAAAAAAAAAAAGGCTAGGATTTGGGGGAAAAAAAAAATCAGGCGAAGGCATGAAACGGACCACAAGATGGCCTTTGGAATGGAGCAGAGAAGAGTTTTTCTTTCTCACTAGCCTCAATAATCTGCTTTGGAAAAATAAATCCCCACTAAAGAGCAGTTCTGCCCAGTTTCTGGACCGCCAGGCCTGTGTGGTCTTTTCGTATTTTCTACTTTGCAGCACTTGCAAGCTAATCCCGAGTTGCTGGGGCCTTCCAAATAACTTGGACGGCCTTCTCTCCTTATCTTCCGCCACGGCCGTGTGGTTCTGTCACTTCAGGGACGGCCTGCTGGACTAGCATGCGTCTTTCTAGAGGATAGCGGCATCTGCGGTGTTTTGGCCTCCCTCAAATGGGTGGCCAAATGCTGGGGTTTGGGTTTGATTTTGTGCTGCTGGCCGCAAAGCACCCAGGTCACTGGTTCTGTTTCGGTGCCAACCATCCCCCAAGACTCTCAAGAGGCTGAACTGCCGGAAGGCATCATCGGAAACTCAACAGCAGGCAGGGAGGGAAGACAGAGGGCAGCAAGGGAAGGAAAGAGAAAGAGAAAAAGAGAGGCCTCCTTTTCACTTGATCTTTTTAAAAAGCATCTTTTTTTTTTTCTTTTTTTCAGCCAAGACCCAACAGTAACAGGAACAAACCTGATCCATGTGGCAGGAAAAAGAGGAACCTAAACCCTTCCGCAAGTATTTTCTTTCCTGACCAGCTGGGCTTGCCGTACTTTGTGAGATTTGCAAAAAATATATATATATAACAGATATATATTTCCATAGGAAAACAACATCAGATGTCTTCCCCTATATGAATGATGAAAGTCAAACTGCATGTTCTTAAAAAAAAAAACAAAACAAAAAAACACCATGAAACTAACAATGGTGGAAGGGTGAGGGTGAGGAATCACAGATGAGAGATTCCAAAGAAGGAAACGTGACATGCGAGTCCCAGGCTCATGCCCTCGGCCAGAACTCCAGCCCCGCCTTTGCTGGGTGGTTTGTCTAAGGTGCTCTGAGGTCCCGCTTGGTCTGCAAGGGAAGTGTCCCTGCCATTTCTGGGGTCTCTTCCTCTTCCACTCTCCTCAGCCCGCCTGTGCTGTCACGCCTCTAGCAATCTCGGAGGGCAGGGGTTCCCTGGGCTGCCAGCTTGCTGAGGTGGAGTGTTGGTTCCTTCAGCATTCATCTTCTTGGTATATTTGTTCATCCAGCTCCTGGGACTCAAGGTGTTCCAGACGGTCTGTTCGGCCACTCATTATTTCATCTGGGGTTTTCATAAACCTTTGGAAGAGGAAATGAAGAAGTCAAGGGGTTCTGTTTTCCTAAAGCTGTCTTCAATCTGAACTCTAACCTGTGTAAGTATGTGTGTATATATATATATACATAAAGAAAGGCCTCATCACCTTATATAGCTGGAGAGCCACTGAATCCAGACATTAATGCTGACAGTACAAATTAGGAAAAGGCACTCCTTCCTCTGACTTCCTGAAAGTAGTCAAGTGACTGTAAACAAAGTCTAGGTGACTATGAGGCAGCATGTGCCCTTTGGGGCTGTGTGGTGTATAATGACATGACCACATGAGGAAACCCTGGTTCAGGTCACTTTTCTGCGTTTCTTATTTTTAGAGAGCCAGATTTCACAAAGACCCATGAGAGCTGTATATCCATTTCCATTCCAGACTGTGAGTCCAGGGAATGGTATTCAGAACTTGAATTTAACTCAAAGGATACAATTAAATGTTAGGAAAATTTTTATAATAGGACAAGTGAGTGGAGCTTTTGTAAAATTTGAAAGGCAATTATCTTTCTTTTTGAAAGATAATCTTTTTCACTGTTAAAACTGATCCACCCAAAATACTAGTCTGTCCTCCTTTGCAGCTGGGGTGTGTAGCAAGCCTCGACTTCTTGTTCAGTGGGCTCACTTGGAAATGATGCCAGTGAAATGTTTTGACCTTAACTTACATGGTTCAGAATCGTAGGCTGTTTGCAAATGTTTTTTAGCAGTGCCCTTTCCACCGCCCCAACCCTGTGGCTGCACGTTTCCCTTCCCATATATTCTTCTTTGCACCAGATAAACTATCTTAAAACTTTCATTTTCTCTCAATCCTCCATGTTCAAAAGACTACAATGAGTATTTATCTTCCTCTTCCTCTTCCACGTTCTTTGGTCTGCCTCTCAGGGATACGTTCTTTGGTCTGCCTCTCAGGGATACGTTCTTTGGTCTGCCTCTCAGGGCCTTCTGCCATCTTTACCTAGGAAACTCTTCCACTATTCACTAGTATGAGCCCATTCAAGTCTACCTGTCTTTTTTTCTTATACAGATCATGGCTCATGTCATCCTATAAAACTTTAGCTTCACCCTTATCTGGAACCCTCTTGACTCCTTGCACTAGGTTAGTCCTACTCGTTCTTTTGTGTTCTGTCTCATCATCAAAGAACTGAGAAGGGCACCAATCCATATTGAAATCTGCCTTCCTCAAGAGTGAAATTGTAGCCAGGCATGGTGGCTCATGCTAGTAACCCCAGCGCTTTGGGAGGCTGAGGCGAGAGGACTGCCTGAGCCCAGGGGTTCGAGACCAGCCTGGACGACTTGGCGAGACCGCGTCTCTACAAAAAATAAAAAAATTAGCCAGGTGTGGTGGTGTGTGCCTGTAGTTCCAGCTACTTGGCAGGCTGAGGTGGAAGGATCGCCTGAGCCCCGCAGGTCGATGCTGCAGTGGCCATGAGTATGCTATTGCACTCCAGCCTGGGTGACGGTGAAACTCTGACTCAAAAAACAAACAACACTTAAAATTGTGAGCACCTATAATTTAATACTTCACTTGGTTGCACACTTGTGCTTACACCAAGAAGCCTTTATATTGTGCAAGTTTGGCTTCCAGCACTCAGTTCCCAAAAAAAGACTAATTTCTCACTCACCAATAGCACTATTATTTTCTCTTGTTGAAAATATTTTATTGTAAGCGTATAAACCTTCCAACGACCACTGCTTTTCTTTTCTACCCATTACTGCTAAACTTCTCAAGCAGTATGATCTAGAGTGTCTACAGTCTGCTACTTTTATCCTCGAGCTAAAATTTCTCTTTCAATATCCGAAGTCACTAAAGATTCTCCCTAGGACATGAATACAGATACGGACTTTCAAACTACCCCTTTCTTCTTCTGACCTCATTTCCATATTAAGAATCTGATATTCCATACCAGGCTTGTCATGAAACATTTACCAAAAGCTTCCATAAGGTATAATACAGAATTATATGAAATATAATCCTCTCCCTCCGGAAACTTACAATCTGGTGGTGAGGAGAAGGGCTTCACACATACAACTTACAGGTTGAAAGTCCCTAACCTGAAAATCTAAAGCACTTCTGGTCCTGAGCATTTTGGATAAGGGAAATTCAACCTGTATTAAAAATGCAAATCATGGTGTCATTAAGGGCCAAGGGAACCCAAGAGATGATGGAAGAAGATATCTATGTGTGTTGGAGCAGTTGAAAAGGTTTCATAAAGGGCAAGAGATCTTGAAGGTATAGATACTAAAAAGCCAAAAAGTTAAAGAATATACATTTCTGGCACAGGGAATCATATTAGTGTTGTAGGGAAGTTGGCAGTATGTATTATAATTTTGGCAGGCAGGGCAGTGGACCAGAGGTAGAAAGAAATTGTCAAATTAATTCTAATATGAATCATTAAGTCCAGACACCAGTTTCTATTGCCAGGGAAGCAATATAATGATTTTGCCTTTCTCTCATCTCCCAAATCTCATGAAAGTGCTTGTCATTGGTAGACTCCAACCTGGGATCTTCTGGCAAGAAATCCTGGGAAATCTGGTTCCTAGGCTTCTAGCCCCTGCAACACAGTATAGAGTAGGTACCGGGTGTGGTGGCTCATGCCTGTAATTCCAGCACTTTGGGAGGCAGAGATAAGAGGACTGCCTGAGCCCAGGGGTTTGAGACTAGTCTGAACAACATGGCGAGACCTTGTGTCTACAATAAATAAAAAATTTGCCAGGTGTGGTAGTGCATTCCAGCTACTGGGAGGGCTGAGGCGGAAGGATCGCCTGAGTCCAGCAGGTTGGAGTCTCGCCCTGTTGCCCAGACTAGAATGCAGTGGCATGCTCACGGCCACTCTAGTATCGACCTGCTGGGCCCCGGCGATCCTTCCGCTTCAGCCTCCCAAGTAGCCGGAACCACAGGCCTGCGCTACCACGCCCAGCTAATTTTTGATTTATTGTAGAGACGAGGTCCCACCAAGTTGCCCAGGCTGGTCTTGAACCCGAGGGCTCAGACAATCCACTTGTCTTAGCCGCCCAAAGTACTGGGATTACAGAATGAGCCACGGAGCCGAGGGGAATTTCTAACATGATAAGAGAGTCTGTCTTGAAGGTGTCATGTTTGAAATACTAATGTGGGCTGGGCTCGGTGGTTCAGCCTGTAATTCCAACACTTTGGGAGGCCGAGATGAGTGGATTACCTGAGCCCACGGGATCGAGACTAGCTCGGGCAACTCGGCGATATGTCGTCTCTACAATAAAAAAAAAAAATAGCTGGGCATGGTAGCGCACGCCTGTAGTTCTGGTTACTTGGAAGGTTGAGGTGGAAGGATCGCTGAAGCCCAGCAGGTCGACGCTGGGGTGGCTGTGTGTGTGCCACTGCACTCCAGCCTGGGCGACAGAGTAAGACTCCAACTCAAAAAAAAAAAAAAAAAAAAGAAATACTAATGTGATATTTAAGTGGACACATCCTGCAAGAAGCTCTTGGAAATTCAAATTTGAAATTGCAGGGGGAATTTAGAGTTGAATAAAGAGATTTAGGAGTGTAATCACTGAGGTGATAAATAAAGTTGTATAATGGGATCAGTTCATCCAGGAAAAGTGTAGAGTGGGAAGAACAGGAAGCCAAGGACTAAATTTAGGGTGAAAGATGGAGAAAAGGCATCAGCAGAGCCAGAGAAAGGATGTTTTTTCTTATTCATTCTCTTCTAGTTCCATTTTTTGAGCAGCCTTTTCTGTTTCTTTAGAAGGTCTCAATTATTTTTACTATTCCTAAGTTGCCACTCCTTCCCATTGCTAAATGCCCAGGATCTCTGCTCTCTCTAATAAATACTTAGGATTTCAGTGAGCTCGTCTACTCCCAGATCAGTGTCATTTTCTTCATGGGTGCAGATCATTCCAAATCTACATCTCCAGCCTTATCTGTTGCTCTCTTCTGGCCCACCTGCCAAAACCCATAACCTAAAGTCTTGCTTGTTGATGTCACCATCTCCTAATCTGCACCTGGTCCCTCCATGTCAATTACTACTCTGTCAGAGGTCTAATTATACCTCTCCTGATCAGTCCTCTAGATCCCTTCTTCTTGTAATTCTTTCTTGCATAGTACTTGTAATCATCATCGGTGCGGTAGGTTAAATGGCTGGAGCTCATCAGCTGTAAGGCAGTCTAGAAAGAGGATTTCTTTTTTTTTTTGAGTTGGAGTCTCACTCTGTCGCCCAGACGGGAGTGCAGCGGCCACTCCCGGCCACCGCCCACCGCAGCCTCGACCTGCTGGGCTCCGGCGATCCTTCCGCCTCAGCCTTCCAGGTAGCTGGAATTACAGGTGCGCGCTACCACACCCGGCTAACTTTTTGATGTACTGTAGAGATGAGGTCTCGCTGCCCAGGCGGGTCTCGAACCCGTGGGCTCAGGCAATCCACTCACCTCAGCCTCCCAAAGGCGTGGGATTACAGGCTGAGCTACCGAGCCCAGCCTAGAAAGAGGATTTCTAATGCAACAGCTTTCAGATGTTTACACATCATTATCATCATAACACACACACACACCTGAAACAAAGTTTTCATGAATCAACAGTCACTCTTTCCACCTGTGACACATTCTGATATTATTCTAATTTCATTTTAAAAAGGTTGCACTGGAACCGTTAAATCTATTTCATGACTTACTGTGGGTCACCAGCATTTTACACTGAGGGTTGGTTGGTACCTGGATGTCTAGGTTTAATTCCTTACTTTGCCACTGACAATCTTACATTGCTCTCTTTACATGCAGCTTTAAAGTCAGATAATACTATTTGGTTACTGTGTTATTTTAAAGTTGAATCCGATTGTGTTTATTTAGTTTTGGCTTTATTACAGGACAGACATAAATAAGAAATTTTTTCCCCCTATAAATCCTAACAAACCAGCACCTGGTATCCAACCTGTAGCAGTGATGGCTTTGGGTATCAGATAGGCAGGTAGAGATCTTAACAGTCTCCCTCCTCCCCCTTAGTCAAAGAAAACAATATCCTCCCAAAAGAAGGAAAGGAGAAAAAGGAAGTGCTACCTGAACAAAAGCCTTTGTCCTGGCTCCTTCCTGATAATGTTTAGTTTGTAGTAGTGGCGCAGGGCTCTGGACATTTTCTCATAGGTCATGTTTGTTCTGTTCTGTTTGTTCAAAGGAGGAAGAGAGAAGAAAGCACAAAGACACAATGAAACCAACCTAGAAAAGGCACGAGGGGGGGAGCTCTTAAAATAAAAGCTCTTCAGCTGCTCCCTGCGGCCCTGCCATTTGGGAAAGCTACCTGCTAATCTGCTGCCTTCCAGGTCCATTAGTCCCCCACCTCTTAGCTTTTACAGTCAACGTGGCCCAGGTTTGCTCCTAAGGTGAATCACCCTTTGTCAGAAGTCGGGGAGCGCCAGCTAATAAAGCGTATCCTGCAGCAACCTTGTTTCCTCTTCCCAAGACTCTCTGCTGTGCCCGAGGAATTTCCTGCAGGTTCCCCCATCTGAGGGTCACCTTCCCCTTCTGACCCACACAGACTTTCTTTTTTTTGTTGCAGTGACCTTTCTCAGACTTGTGTTTCTGGTCTGTCATTTTAAGGAAGAACATTTTTGGGGGTTTGAATTCCTGTTGTGGAAGCAAGAAGACAGTGGTTCCAAGTCCCGAGGCTCTGCGGCCCCATGTGGGAGTTGCAGAGGGAGTTTTCTCAGTGACTCACACAGGGAAGTGGCTGTCAGTGGGGCCGCGCCATATTTGGTCACAGTCTGCTGCATTACCCACTGCCTTCTTAGAAGCCTGCAGGCCTGGGCTGAGCTGGGCCAGGCCTCCCCCGTGGTTTTACTGGCTGATCTGGGGTTGTGCGACCAGGGGGTCTTTCGGCTTTGCCCCAGATCGACCTGCCGGTGGGCCTGGATTGTGGTTACCCACTTTTTCTATCTGCACACGTTTCCTTACCATGAAAGACTTTTCTGTCTTAAGTTCCGTTCCCTCCTTCCATTTTGGAGAACTGTGGGGCAATCAAACTTCCTGTACTGTTTGCTTGTGAAGGGGATGTTTTACAGTCAGACTGTAAGTATTTCCATGGAAGGAGTAGGCTTCGGTGAACATGGGAGTTCCTAACAGCAGAAAAGAGGTGACACATCCCGAAGGCCCCTTGTGAGTCTGGTAGTACTTCCCTTTTACCTGGTTCCTATTGACAGTGGGAATGACAGGGCCAGGTCAAAGGGAGTGGAAGCAAAGGCTGCTCGTGATGATGCAGCTCTATCAAACTGGGATACGCTGCGTTAACCTGGCATATGGGACAGATGGAAAAGGCATCTTGAATTTTTTTCCTCCCTTTGCAACTGTCTGTTTGCCCAGCGAGGAATAAACTAAACAATGACAGGCACACTTAGAAAGCAGAAGACAGACAATGATCCTCCAATCCAGGAACGAAGACTTTGCTTTGGCACTAGTTTATACAGGAGATAGCTGCTGCCTCTTTACCTTATGGTTTCCCCACAGTCGAGCAAGTCCATTGGGATCCACTATCCGGAATATTTTGGATTCTTTGTCCTCCCATCGGATGAAGTTTTCGTACCGGCTGTCAGAAAGCAACTGATAGACGTAATCCCAAAGCAGTCTACAGTCTACAGAGGAAAAGGGCAAGAAAACACTGTTTAACATGTTTCTTGTTGAGGTACTAACAAGAATCAGAACAGAATCCAGTAACCGCTTTTGCCTACCTAGGACTGATTGTCTAACTTCCTTATTTTCTAGTGAGGAAACGTGGGTCCAGAGAGATGGAGTGAGATCATGTCCAAGTGTGACCTTTGACCTGAAGAGGCCACCCAGGCCGACTGCCTCCTTCCACAGATGAGGACACAGTGACCCAACAGTCCACAGTCATGACCAAAACTTGAAAACCTGAGCAGAACCCCCATGAAAGATGGGGAGCAAGTTCTAACTCTGAAGAAATTGGCTCGAAAGTAGGCTAAAAACACGCTGTAAGACTAAAAGGGTGGAAAGAGAGTACTAGCCGGGCTCGGTTGGCTCAGCCTGTCATCCCGTGCCTTTGGGAGGCTGAGGTGAGCGGATTGCCTGAGCCCGCGGGTTCGGGACCCGCCTGGGCAGCGAGACCTCATCTCCACAATAAATCAAAAAATCAGCCGGGCGTGGTAGCGCATGCCTGTAATTCCGGCTACTGGGAAGGCTGAGGCGGCAGGATCGCCGGAGCCCAGCAGGTCGAGGCTGTGGTGGCCGGGAGCGGCCACTGCACTCCAGTCTGGGCGACAGAGTGAGACTCCAACTCAAAAAAAAAAAAGAAAGAGAGTACTAATGTGCCAGAGAGCAATGTGGTAAAAAAAAAATGGTGGGGCTAAAGGATTATGTTGGTATTGGTGGGAGACACTTAACAGACAAAGATGAGAAGACTGGGGCAGGCTAAAACATGGCAAAAAAGAAGAGCAATGAGTGAAAAACTATGTGGCTTGGTGACGCTGGCTGTGGGAACTGTGGCTAGCATGTTTCAAAAGAATACAGACATTCTCATTCTGTCATACTTTGGAGGCCTTTTTCAGTTCTCCCTAGGCAGAACTGACTTATGATCACTGGGTTAAGGCAATGGCTATTAAGTGATTTAATAAGGTCCAGGCTCAGTGCTGGGCCTAGGCTTTTGCCTGTAGATTGGGAGATTAAAAGACAAGACGTGATGCCCACCTTCCCCTTGTTCTATTATTTTCTAGATTTGCACAGAGCCTGGATAGGAAGGTAGAGGTGCACATGTACCTGCTAGGTTTAGCTGATGCTGCACTGGCCTCCAGATGAGAGTCAGGTACCAATTTCTAAGTGTTCACCGTATGATTCTGGAAAAGCCTACCTTTGAGTTTTGATTTTAATTGGTGTCTAACTCTATCGCCCATGCTTGAGTGTAATGGCACGATCACAGGTCACCACAGCCTTATTCTCCTGGGCTCAAGCAATCCTCTCACCTTGGCCTCCCCAAATACTGGGATCACAGGCATGAGTCACCATGCCCAGACATTCTGGAAGTGCCTGGTTTTTTTTTTTTTTGTTTTTTTTTTGAGTTGGAGTCTCGCCTGTGTCACCCAGGCTGGAGTGCAGTGGTATGCTCATGGTCACCCCGGCATCAACCTGCTGGGCGTCGGTGATCCTTCCGCCTCAGCCTTCCAAGTAGCCAGGACTACAGGTGTGTGCTACCATGCCTGGCTAATTTTGGATTTATTGTAGAGACGAGGTCTCACCATGTTGCCTAGGATGGTCTTGAACCCGTGGACTCAGGCAATCCTCTCACCTCGGCCTCCCAAAGTGCTGGGATTTTCAGGCTGGAGTCACCATGCCTGGCCAGTGCCTTCTTTTTTATAGGCACTCGTCAGAATGGCTGGTGACAGAAGATTAATTATTGAATGCCAAGGATGTGTTCCATACTTATCTGTATTATTTCTAATCCCCAGAGAGATTAAAATAACCAACCTGCCTGAGGTCATTGGCGTTTGTACTCTGGGCTCCTGCACTACAATGTTCTTTCTTTCTAACGCTGGGTGAGGCCTAGGCCTGGAACACTCCGGAAGGGAGTGTTCAACCGAGACTTGGAATATCTTAAAGACAACACATCCTCATTTCAGAGAAAGAAATATAGCCTTCTCTGGGGTACATATTTACAAGGGGAGTTCAATTAGACCACCTTGGGCAAGTTTCTTAATCTTCCCAAGGTTCTGTTATCTCATGTATAAAACGGTAGACTAACAACACTTACTTTATAGGGTTATGATGACTGTATTAGTGATAATGAGAATGAAGTATAAATAATGGGATAATGGGAGAAAGTAATACAAATAACAAGAATATTTAGTGGGTGCTGTTTGTGGGCCGTATGCCGTGCCTTCTAAAAGCGTGGTTATGTTTGACCCCTACGCCACCTTAGGAGGCAGGTACTGTGTCTATGTCTATTGTATAGACCAGGAAGCTGGGGCTGAGAGGGTCTGATAATTTCCTCAATGAGACCACAGCTTGTGAGTGGCACAGTAGGATTCTAGGCTCTGTATGACTTCAAAGCCTGTGCTATGCCATACTTCCCAATGCGCGTGATATTTTCAGAGAAACTGGTTAATGTATATATATTTGTGGAACCGTAGAACTTTCCAGAGCCACCACTCTGCTTAGTGTACCCTTTGTGAAGGCATTAGCATAAAATGTGGTTATTTTCTAGAAGCTTAATCTTTCAAGGAACTACCATTAAACTTAAAAGGACCCTAAATCTATAATATCCCTTCCTGTATGCTTTCTTCTGTATTATGTATGTCTAAAAATTAATGTGGTGTGTAGTCTGTTGTGTTTTGGAAATGGACAGGTGGTGTTCTTTTTAAAACACTGACACCACAGTCCTAGAGTTTGAACCCCATTCTAATAACAGAGGCTGGCCAGCCACTTGCATTAACCCTTTTCCCGTAGCTGCATTTTTTTTTTTTTTTTTTTTTGAGTTGGAGTCTCACTTTGTCTCCCAGGGTGGAGTACAGTGGCACGCTCATGGCCACCACAGCCTCAACCTGCTGGGCTCAGGCAATCCTTCTGTCTCAGCCTTCCAAGTAGCTGGAACTACAGGCATGTACCACCATGCCCGGCTAATTATTTTGATTTATTATAGAGATGAGGTCTCGCCAAGTTGCCCAGGCTGGTTTTGAACCCATGGGCTCAGGCAATCCTCTTACCTCGGCATCCCAAAGTGCTGGGATTACAGGCATGAGCCACCGCACCTGGTCTTGGCTGCATTCTTTATTGCCAAAGGATGGGCTGAGGTGGGGGCATGGGGCAAAGAGGGTCATCCAAGCATCTTAAATTACCTTGAAAAGTCAGTGTCATACTACTGAAGACTGAAAATAATCTAGCTCATGCTAAAAGCACTTTAAAAAGAGGATGACTCAGCTGGGCTCGGTGGCTCGGCGTGAAATCCCAATACTTTAAGAGGCCGAGGAGAGCGGATCAGCTGAGCCCACAAGCTGGAGACCAGGCTGGGCAACCTTTCAAGACCTTGTCTCTACAATAAATCAAATAAAAAATTAGCAGGGTGTGGTAGAGCACGCTTGTAGTTCCGGCTACTTGGAAGGCTGAGGCGGAAGGATCACCAGAGCCCAGCAGGTCAATGCTGGGGTGGCTGTGAGTGTGCCACTGCACTCCAGCCTGGGTGACAGAGTGAGACTCCAACTCAAAAAAAAAAAGAAAAAAGAAAAAAGAAAAAGGACGATGACTCTAGTTCTAGGCAAAGCAGTAAAGTAGGCAAAGTATCTTTATCCCTTGCAGGCACTTCCTTGTCTTGCATCACTTTCACTGTAACTGGAAAATAGAGAACTGCTATGGTCTGAATGTTCATGTCCTCCCTGAGTTCATTTGTTCAAATCCTAACCCCCAAAGTGATGGTATATTAGGAGGTGGGGCTGTTGGGAGGTGGTTACATCATGGGTAGGATTAATGTCCTTACAAAAGAGGTTCAAGAGAGACATTTTCCCTTTCACCACGTGAGGATACAGCAAGAAGGTGCTTTGAACCAAAAAGAGGGCCCTCATCAGATACCCAATCTGTCAGGGGCTTGATCTTGGACTTCTCAGCCTCCAGAACTATGAGCAATAAGTACCTACTGTATATAAGCCACTGACCTATGAGTTATTTTTATAGCAAAGTAAGGCAAAACAGTAAGAGAACTGAGCTGTGGTTGAATATTCTCGTTTTTGTCCTACCATCAAATGGAAGATACATTTTAATTTTGCACAATCTCTTCCAACTGGAATTCATCTGACAAAACCAAATATTTCACATAAAACATCAGTAAATTAAAAGAAACAAGGTGGCTTGCATATAACCTGTCCCTGTCTCCCTATAGGGTTAGAATCACTTTCACTGCAAACAGGCTGACAACACCTTTGGATTCCTCTGGATTGGAAGTGTAATTCTCTGGTGTGTTCATTTAAATAAGCTCAGCAATAAAAAAGCTACCTGCTTGTCTTTTACAGTTTGGTATAAAGATATTTTGCCCATGAAGGCGAGCGATACATTAGCCATCCTCCTGACTCTCTGCAGAAGATGCTCCACTCGGAGGCCTACGGTGAAACTTACAGAGCACAGTTCTCTGTCCACAGATGCACAAGGGTTTTCACTGCACTGTTTTTGCTGTTCCTCTTTTATATCCCAGTACATTGCATTTCTCATAAAATTAACACACAAACCATACCACTTCTCCATGTAAGGGCTTAACCAGCACTGGGGTACCATGTTGATTTCTCAGATGCAACAAACTGGGATCTAGAATGTGATCCACCTTTTGGATGGCAAACAAAAGGCAGGGCTTCCCAAGAGAACAGATTTTACCATGGACTTCAAGAACATTTGTCTCTTGCAAATTTTCCCTTTCATAAATTTGAAAATAACACCTAAAAAGCTGCCGATTGATCATTTTAAATGACAATTAATCCAACAAAGCCAACATTAGCTGAGTAATAAAAATATGTTGATATTCAAGACATATTGAATTACTCAGTCATAAATGGAGGTAGGAACAGGAATTTTGTGGCACAAAGCAGTTATTTCAAGCTCAGAGTATAAGTGACTTTTATAATGCTATTGATTTTCTTTGGTTGAA